CTTTCCTGCCTATGCAGGGGGTCGGACTCGATCTATTGAGGTCCCTTCCGACCCTAACATCTATGAATCTATGGAATAAAAGATGCCATCCCATTAGCATTTGCCACATTTGGAAATAGAAGCATGATACTGCTCAACCAGTAGTGCGCTAACAGCCGCATGTTAATGAAATATGGGAGGTGGGAAAAGCTCATGTGAACTGAGCTGGTGCAGGTATTTCATAGGAGTGACTTAGGTTGCTGGCATCCTTGATGTGGGAAGGGCTCAATCCTAGTTAAGTATGAATGGCTCAATGTGCTCACTGGTATTATAGATTTCCAGACAGTAGAACAGTGGTACAGAGTAGATATGGGGTACTGCCGATTGACCTGGGCAGCACAGGAGGTTGGTCCACAGTGCCACGTGCAGCCTGTGCCCTGGATCCCATATGCTCTCTGCAGCACCACAAGCATCATAGGGCCCTGTGAAGCATGTGGTGCATGGGCTGGACCCAGTGCTGCCTGTGGCACAGGGGTTCTGGGGTGCAGGCTGCATACAGTGCCATGGACTGATTCCCTCCCTTCCCCTGTGCTGCCTGCAGCACCAGGTTCAGCCAGCATGCCACAGGCAACACACTCCCTGTCCTGGTCCTTGCAGGGCCTGATGATGAGTTTGATACCCTTGAAATAGATTGTAGCAGATACAGGGCATGATAAATACACTGTGGCTCTTATGTGCATCTCTGCCCTACATCTAGCAGACTCCAGCTGAGCTTGTCAATTTAACCTCTAAGTGATGTTTCTCAGGTTTGACTTACTGGTTGTGTTCTGTCTTTCCAGGTTACTTTCCTTCTTTGGGGTTGCCTTCGAAGGGCTCTCCTGTTTCTCTCAACTCTGACACTTCTTCTCTTGCACCTAACTTCATAGGTAAATGGTGTGCTCACTGTGGGAGTGTTTATGTGGCTTTGTATTTCTTGAAGTGGGTGAAAAAATTCTCTAAGTGGTTTGTGACATGTTAAATTCACACACTGATCAGGGCACTTTGTTTCATGGACTTGGCTACATGAAACTTTAATTTCAGGTGGAGGTGAGTGGCATTCTCTCCACTCTGTATGCTGCCATCACTCAGAAATGCGTAGATATGAAGCCACAGTCCTACTAGGAAATCCCCAGTGCCAGCTTATTTGCAGTATACAGTTCTAATATATTTTGCAGACTGACTTGACAATCTTAATTGGTCTATCATGGTTCTCATTGGCTCTTTTTTTTTTTTTTTTTTTGTATCTACAAGAACTTGAATCTATTTTTTTTTTTTTTTTAAACAAGAGCTAAGATTATCACAGTTATTTGATTCCAGGGAGATGAAGCTTAAGGATATCTTCCAAATAGTGCAAGGCGGGGTATAAAATTGAAAAAAGCTTACCTTGTAAGAAACTTTTTTTTCCTTTCCCAAAACCAAGCTTAAAATCTTGGAAAGATTAAATCAGGCACTAGCTGTTTCTCTGTTTAGTTAATTTAGGATAGCAGGAGGTCAGAAATTGGTGCAAATCCTGACTAAAACTCTTTCACAGAGATGAATGCAGCTGGGTAATGCTCTTAATATAGGCTGCTTCCATCATGAGGTCTGCAGTATGTAAGGACAGTATTCTTGGCTGAAGTTTAAGGGTTCCTCCTGAGCTTGGGGTATTTATCTCCCAATAATAAGTAGCAGTGCTTATAGTGATTGACCAGCAGGTCTGTAGTTGTTTGTTTGTTTGTTTGTTTTTTTAACTAAATCTTTTCCAATAGCTTTGTGGAGGAATTTAAGGAAATGTTTTTGCAACTAGCATTTGCAGGAGAGGCCAGGGTTCTGCTTTTGCTGGCCAAAATTAAATCATCTGTGAAAATTTAGCTTACTGTGTTTATGTATGTTAATCTGCAACGACAGCAGGCTGACTATCTTTCTCTTCCAGTATGACAAACTTTCTGAACAAGTTTGAAAGTTAAGACACCAATTATTTTGTGTACTCCTGTAGAGTACTACCTCATGAGTTAGAGCCAATCCTAGAGTGGGGGGAGGAAGACAACAGATTTTATGTAAATAGGAATTTTAGATTAAATTTAAGTTTATAATTTAAAAATGTTTAAAAAGACATCTGAATCGAATTCAGAATTGGCTAAAAATTCTACTTAATTTCTTAAATCACTTTAAATAAAAATATATACTGAAGCTATAAACCTCTACCCAACCCTGAGTCTCAGACTCTTTTCTATAGAAAGAATGAATTGTGTGAAAACATCCAGCTTCTTGGGGCAAGCTTTATAAATACAGCATAGTAGGTCAGGGACTGTGTTAAGGGCTTGGTCCTGGTGGGGACCCAGCATCTGTTCTACTGGGTGAAAGAGACTAGCAGAGTCATAGCAAGTGTTAGGACCTGTGCTTTAACTGCAGGAGGTGTTGTATACAGTCTATCCTTGGGATCATCCTTGGTGGTCTTGTTCACATTTTTCACACAGATACTTAATACCCACCATAAGCAAAAAAAGTTAATTAGTAAATGAGCAATGTATTATTTTCCACTTTAAGGCACTAACATTTAAAATGTAGAAGTATCTGAAAATATTAAGGTGCAAAATTGCTTAAATGTAATTATAGTGCAAGCTCTTAGCGGAAAGATATACCATATCAAGTGCAAAGACTCTATTTAGTTATAAATTTACATGATTTATTAGCTTTCAACTAGTAAAAATGTGCATTTCTAGAAAAAGTAGCTGAAGTACAAACAGAGAGGCTGATTAAAATTGACTTTAAATAGGGGCTTTCTACTTGATGATTTAAATCAATCTGCCATAGGATAGAGGCTCAGCCTAAAGTTGTATCCCATAATGCATAAAAGTTTGTGCGGGCCTGGATTGTGTCACAGGGAAGGACTTGGCCCCACACTTCTCCCAGCTACTTAATGTATGTTACATGAAATTAAATGCAAATAGACAAGTTCTTGTCCCTATCAGAAAGGCATAGCAGAAAAGGAGCTCAGAAATAGGAAAATAAATAATTAGAGGAATGGAGAAACTTGTGTATGAGATGGGAAATGTTAGAACATTTTGAGTGGAGACAAATAAGAATTAGACATGATGGAAGTATATACAAGATGAGTGGTATAGAAAGCAAATCTTGTGTCCTTGTCTCCTAATATAAGAACTAAGGGAACATCAATATGATACTTAAGGAAACTCATTTTCAGTTGATGAAGGGAAATACTTATGCAGACCAAGCATAATTAGCACCTGGAACTTATTCCCACTTGATATATCTGAGTTCAAGGCTGTAGCAGATGTGATAAAAATGTATAAGGAACAGAAGAAACCTGTATATTTGTGGGTGTAAACCCATTGCCTGCAATTGAGAAACATGTTCCCCTGTGGCAGTTTCTTTCATAACTGTCCACTGCAGGAAAATGCCAAAATGCCCTGTATCTGGTATTGGCACTGTTGTACTAGATCAGGGGTGAGCAAAATACAGCCCTCCAGCTGACTGGATCTGGCCTGCAACTGCCCCTGCGGTGCTCCACATGGGGTTGAGCTGCGCCCACTCCTGCTGGGGCAGTCTGTGCCATACTCCCCACCTGCCAGCCCAGGCCCCAGCCAGCAGCTGCAACTTCCAGTGGGGCTGTTCCCAGTGCTGCTCTCCTCCCCTTGCCTCCACAGAAGCTGCCTGGCTGAAGCTTCCCTCCTACCCACCTGGAGCAATGCAGCAAGGGCAGGAGTGGGAGGAGGAGCGGCTGCTGGAGGCAAGGGGAGCAGAGCAGCACCTGGCTGGCTGCAGCTACACCAGGAACAACCCCATCAGAAGTTGTACCCTGGCTGGAGCCAGAGCCAAGCTGATGGGCGCATGGCACCCAGGCAGGCTTCCTTCTCCTCCTCTCAGCCCCCCGCACACACGTGTAGACTTACCTTCCCTTATACACCCTACCCCCATGGGGCGTGCAGGAGTGGATCATGGCTTGGCCCAGGTCCCGGCCCTGAGCTGTCACTGCCCCGTGACCCAACCCCATAATCCCAGCCTTGCCTGTCCATCCCAATCCCAAACACTGCTCCCTGTCTGCCTAAAGCCCAATAGGGAGTTTTGATGAGTTATTGTGCTGGGGTGGGGTGCAGAGTGCTGACCTGGCCTGTGACCGTTCATCAAAGATCCCTATGTGGCCCTTGGGCCCAAATAATTGCCTACCCCTGGACTAGATGGAATTAGACAAACCCATCTGGCAATAGTGGCTCCCA